TGAGAGGAGGCAGGGCTATCTAGACAGAGACCGGCTCACAGAGATTCAAATAATCCCAGTCCTACCCTTTCTGCACTGCCGGAGTATCTATCCTCCAGGAAATGGAGGCCCAGGGTTTGCAAAGATCTTACGCTCTCAAGAATTTGATTGATATGGGAAAAATTTACAACTTAAGGTTTTCTAGGGGAGATACCCACTCTTAATTGGCTCTGTAGAGCCACAGGTGATGGAGGGCAAGGCACTGGGTTCAAAGTGCCTTCCCAGAACCAACCAGGCACCCTAGGAAGGCCAAGGGTTAGGCAGGCCACTGTGGCTCCTTCTAGAAAGGCAAGATACTCCTATACACACACGTCCAAGGTCCAAATGTCCAGTGCCTTTTGGGGAAAACCTGATTTCAGATGCTTTCACCAAGATGGTTCTGACCAACAGTGCCCCACTCCTGCTTCTTCCTAGAGAACAGAGTACTGTAATAATAGCAGTGGGCTCTGGCCGAGCAGCTTGGTTGGTTAGAGCATTGATCCTACACGCCAAGGCTAGACTCCAAGGTCAGGTATTTAAAGAGTCAACCAATGAATGCATGAATAAGTGCGACAACAAATCAATGTCTCTCTCTCTCTCAAAATATTTTTTTTTTAAATAGCAACAAACATGACTGCTATTATCATCTTTGTTTTGCAGATAAAGAGAATGGGGCTCAGTGCAGCTAAATAACCTAATAATGTACCTGGAGAATGGAATGGATCTGACTCCAAAGTCCATGATTTTTAAACTACAACAGCTGTTTTCAAATTGTGTTCAGAGGGTTCCCCAGAAACTACCACAGGGCAGGAGCCCAGTGGTCAGGGTTTCCCGTTTCCACATATGGCTACAATAGCCACACACATGTCTGTATTGTGAGTTAAAAATAAGCTTGAAAAGAACCACATTATGCTATGCTGCCCTGCTTCTAAGAATCAAGAAAGACTTACTCTACTCTCAATCTAATGCCACCCAGGGCCCAGCAGAAAGGAATTGTCTTGAGAAAAAAACTGTAGTGGACCAATTTCCTGATCTTTACCAAGCTAAGGTTTCCTTAATGTGGTTACATTCTTTGTTCCTTTTCAATTCTTCACCTGTTCACAGGGTCTACTGATCCCCCAATCCTTGCTGTGTGTGGGGCGGGGGGGGGGGAAGAAGGGGGAAAGGCAGGTTTCTGTAGAATAGGTCCCCCTCCTCTCAGAACCCCCCAGCCCTACCTACACAGTGAGTCAGGGGCCAGGAATGTCTGTGGGGGCAGTAGACAGGTATGTCAAAGGCTGATTCATCTCTCATCTCCACCCAATTTTCTCCTTACTGTTCTCTGGGAAATTTAACTCTTTATTTGTCTGGAGATAAGAGGGAGATTCCAGACTCTGAACTCATGGAGTCTTCAATCTGTGGCTACATACAGTACTTCATACATCAGATTACGGCATTTAAGAAATATATGTTGAAAGAGAAGGTGGGAGGGAAGAATGGAGCGAAGGAGAAAGACACATTTCCCCCTCTTTCTTTCTCCAGAATAAAGTCATCCTGAAATTTCCTTTTCTGAATGTACAAGGGACAGATGTTTAAGTCAGAATAGATTGTGCAAACATTGGTATGCTTTGAGTTGGGAGAAATCTTACTCATGTCCCAATATCCCTTCTGTGCAGTTTATATGATTCCACAGAGCAATGTGCAGGTTCCAGGATGAATATACAGGAAGAGGGCTACAATCAGTGTGAAGAGAGCTGTATTTGCACAGAAAGCACACTTCCTGAGACTTTGCGTTCATTTGGGATAGATTGAAGGGGCCCTTCATCTCCCTCCTCCACCATTGCTTCAGGGTTTTGGATGAGGAAAGAAATTTCCAGCTTTGCTCTGTATTTTAGTTCAGCACATTTTTATCAATATTCATCTTTCTTTTTCATCTTAGTTGGGCTCCAAATCCCCAGCCCATCCCTTCACAGCTCCTCAGTCTTAAGCTCTCTGGACACCTGCACTTCTGGGGCTTCCTGGCAGGAAATGAAGGACAGTCCGTTGTAAATGAGACTTATGACTTCCCCTGGCCTCAGTAGGCCCAATGCCATTGAGATATGTGCTAATTTGGGGCTCTTCCTTCTTCAGGGGATAGGAAGTGGGAGTGGGCAGCCCAGATCAGGCTGGGTAAAGGCTCAATGCACAGGGGCAAGAAAGAAGAAAAGGGGAAGGGCAGGAAGGGGGCTACTCAGCTTGCTAGAGAATTTCCTTCCAGACGTCTGGGGCAGTTGGGCCTCCCCACTACTTTCAAAACCCGGGTGGGCCTTGGTAATGCTGGGATGAGTCTGAAGTCCCTCCCCTTCCCTTCTCAGGAGCCTTGAGAAAGGACAGAGACTCTCCAAGATCAACCTTCCCCCACGCCCTACTGGGATCAGGCTTCCTAACTCAGCCAACTGGAGGGGAGCTTTTTCCTAATTCAGAAACAGTGGAGAGCAGACTGGCTGTGCTTTAGGTCTGTGGAACTCAAGGGCGTCACCCTCACTCCTAAACCTCTTTGGTCTAGAAGCCTTTCCAATTAACTGTGGTCTCTGATAGGTTCCAAATGCTATCTCCCAATTGTTGGAGCTCCAATTCAGAGCCAGGAAATGCATTTATCCTAATGTCGGTGATAAGCAGAGATGATCAAGAAGATCCCTTCTAAGGTACCTTAGAAGGAGAGAGAGGCATTTTGAGAAAGTGTCTGTGAGATGTAAAGTGGCACTTTTCTGGAAGGCAATATGAATCCAGAACCTGGAAAACATCAGCTTTTTCATTTCTAGGATTTTATCATAAGTGAAAAGTCAAAGACTCAGCCCTAGACAGTGTGGCTCAGTTGGTTGGAGTGTCGTCCAGTGCACCAGAAGGTCCAGTGGGTAAGATTGCTGGTCAGGGCATATACCTAGATTGCAAGTTTGATCCCTGGTCCAGGTGTATGCGGGAAGCCACCAATCCATGTATTTCTTTCACATCTATGTTTCTCTCTTTCCCACTTTAAGATCAATTAAAAAAAAAAGTTTAAAGATTCAGACAGCACTATTTACAATAGCAAAAAATTGGTAACAACTTATAGGCTAACCATGGGAATTTAAGTAAGTAAACAATATTGTAGTCATACCACAGAATATTATCATGTAAACATTAAAAGGTCTTCATATTTTTAATTATATTAAATAGTGTAACTAAAAAAGGCAGGTTACAAAGCAATAATATATCTTACATAAATGCTATAACTATCCCTCTGTATGTATAGAAAAATAAAATAAACTATACATTTCAATATAAAATTTATTATAGATTATATTTTTATTTCTGTTATGGGATTATGAGCCTAATTTTATTTTCCAAGTTTTTCACTTTGCTATTTTTATCAGGAAATTAAATTTAAAAAAAAAGAAATCTTAAGGACAGTTGCCTTATCCCAGCCATACTGGAGGACAGTTTTTCTCTTACCCTATACATTTCATGATGAACAGACATCACCTGGAACCCACAGTCCTTTTGGCACTGTGCTATCCCTCCCCAACATGAAAATCATTCTGCTATCAGTGGGAGGTGGAGAGAGCAATATCAGAGAAAACACCCTTGCTGTCACACCAATGCCTGAAAATAAAGTTTTGGATTATTCCATCCATGTCTACTCCATGACTGCAGAGAATAAATGCTCAGGGTGCTTGGATACGAGCCCATAAAGTTCTAATGACACCTCTATCCAACTGGTTTGTTTTGGTGATAGCTGTGGCCTCCATGATGGAATAAGCATCAAAACCCATGACCAGCCCGGGCTGGTTTGGCGCAATGGATAGAGTGTCTACCTGTGGACTGAAGGGTCCTGGGTTCAATTCTGGTCAGGGGCACTTGCCCAGGTTGCGCACTCGATCCCCAGTCAGGGTGTGTGGGAGGCAGCCGATCAATGATTCATTCTCTCATTGATGTTTCTCTCTCTTCCTTCCTCTCTGAAATCAATAAAAATATATCAAAAAAGAAAAACAGCCCTAACCAGTTTGGCTCAGTGGATAGAGCGTCAGCCTGCAGACTCAAGGGTTCCGGGTTTGATTCCGGTCAAGGGCATGTACCTTGGTTGCGGGCACATCCGCAGTGGGGGGGGTGCAGGAGGCAGCTGATCGATGTTTCTCTCTCATCAATGTTTCTATCTCTCTATCCCTCTCCCTTTCTCTCTGTAAAAAATCAATAAAATATATTTTAAAAAAATAAAAGAAAAACAACCCAAGACCACAGCTATTGGTACTATTTTCAAAAACACAGCATCCATCCTCACTCTCTGATGAGGGATTTGTCCAGTGGCCAGGGCATCAGGATTCCTGGGCTCCAGGCCCCATAGGTGACTCACAGCCAGCCTCAGGCTGTGACTCCTGGCCTCAGTTTCCCTGGCTTGCTTTGTTGATACTCTCTACCTACTGTGCAGGGTATTAATAGGAATGAGGTGCTTTGAACTCTGCAGATGAAAGAGTCTGGGGAAGCAGCACCCAATCATTATCCCCTATAAGGCTAGGCGTGGGAGCGGAGGTTGGCTCCTTTCATATTGTTCCAGCCACAGGAGCCTCCTCAGAGCCCTTCACTATGCTCTGGCTGTCAAAGCTGGAAAGCAGAGCTGTCACTGCCATCTCAAGGCTACTTCTGAATAGATCTTCCTAAACCGCCCAAACCGCCAGTGACCTATCTTCCCCTTGATTTTCGACTCAGTAATACTCTACAGGTGTCTAAATTCTTTCTTCCAACTGGCCTCAAATCCTGTGGGATATAGGCCATAATGTTTCACCATTAGTATCCACAATTAAGAAGTCAGCAAAGTGAACTATGAGAGAGCTAGGCTGACTGAAGTTCAAACTCATCTGTTTCCTTTATGTAAAGTGGGGCTTAGTAATAGTCCCAATCTTGTTTGTGTCTCTAGAGTTGCTGTGTGAACCACATGAGGACCATGTGTATGAAGGCACTTTGTAAAATGCCAAGCCCTTCATGGTGTGTTAACAGGACCAAGTATCTGCAAATAAGATTTCCGGTACAACCGCCATCTGTCCCTCTTGTGCTGCAAGCTACAACTGCAAAACTAGACCTGGGGTGCCACCTATTGGTTTCCAATATAAATTGCACCCAACCAGTTACAAGAAGAGCAAAGAAAGCAATCACCAGTATTTCCAACTTTAAACCACCTTAATTTTTGCCATGCCCCTCATGCCATATTATATACTTAATATTTTTCTTTAAACAATGCATTTTGTATAAATAATTTAATTTTAAAGTAAACTTTTAATCACTACTATAAATGGAAACTAGCTAGCACTTGCCAAAAATAGAATAAAACTGCAAAATGAATAATGAAAATGAAACACTGAGATCTAGCTAAGAAGTATCCCCTGTAAACCTCAAGCTTCAGAATCAGTTAAAACTGGAGATTAACCTAAGTGCATCATTGGAGAATAAGTGTTAAACCTCTGGTATTATCCTGTTCTTTGGGGAAATACTGCCTTAGATGAAGAAATAGAACTCTTCTGAGGGAAGGTGACATTCACTCATTCTACCCCAGCTCCCTGGAAGGTTGAAGAAAGTGTGAAAGTCACAACATGTAGGAGAAAATAAACTCTTGTATTCACATTCCACAATAGTTCGAGTAGGGCCAGTGCTGAATTCCTGGTGGCAGTGCCCAGAGCTCATGAGCACCGAGGGTGTGGTGGGTGCTCTGCTTGCAGCACGTCTGACTTTTGGCCAGGAGTCCTTTGCAAGGGTGGATCTCTCTTCATCAGCCTTCCAGCTCTGGCTGGGAGGACTGTTCTTGGGTCTGCAGCCTGCTGAGCTGGGGCTACAGCTTTCTCCAGTGCTGGGTTATGTCTTGTTCTCCGGAGCCCAGCCTGTTGTTACAGATCCATGGCTTCTTGTTCCACTGACTGGTCTGAGGGTGCCAGGTACTTCTCCTGGATTCCCAGGGTGCTGAGAGATATGTCAAGGATGATAGCATGGGCAAGGGTGGGAAACTGGTCTGGGCAGGATCTGACCTCTACTGATGCCCGCCTTCCAATCATGTCTGGCAGAGTACTTCCATCCTTCTCCCTTCCTCATAATTATAGCTTCAGGCAACAGGGACCAATTGGGTCTGAGAAGCCTATCAAAGCAATGAGACTCAAATGCTCCTCTTCCCTGCATTGCTGAGGATCAAAAGACCAGAATGCTAACCCTTCAACTCTGTTGTTATGACACACACTCAGCGCCAGGCCATGGGGACTTAAATCCTGATTTTGCTGTGTCCTTTTTCTCATCTGTAAAACAAGAGTTGTTATGAGGACCAAATGAGACAATGAATAGAGTGCTTAGCATAGCACCTGGCAGACAGTAGGTGCTTAAGAAATGTTTGTGACTTCTCTTCTGCCAAAGGAGAGAACACAAGTGAGCACAAAGAAAACAAAAAATTTCTGCTTGGGCCATGGGGTGCCTTCTACCTCTGGGACAGCAGTAAGGACACAAATCAGATTCACAAAAACAAAGACCATGACACTGCTGATGGAACCCTGTGAGACTGGCTGGCCTGAGGTCGGGGCCTGGGGTCTGAGTGGGAGATAGGGGTTGACCATGTTGGCCACCATGGCTGCTCTACTAGATGACTCCAGTGTCAGCAACTGAGATTCTACAACCAGGGACACTGAGATTTGAATGGTTCTTCTAACACAAGCTGAGTGAGGGATGTTGGGGTCATCACTCTCAAAGCTCCAACTGCTTTCATCTATAAAAGGGGACTGAATAAAAATTAAATAACATCCTGCAAATGGAGTATGTAGCCCACCAAATGATGTTCAGGTTAGACCTTCTTTACCATCTCATGGATCCATCCATAAATCCATCTCAACCCGACACAAACTGACTCTGAACCTGTGCGCACTTCCCTTCACTTTTCCTCAGGAGGTAATGCCTTGTTCCTGTGCAAGTCAGTCCTGAGGATCATCTGCTTGACTTGGACTATCAAACCTGTCTTATCTCTGGCCTGAAGCATACATTCCTGAGCAGGGCACATGAACCCTGAGTTCTCCTGCCTACATCCTGGCACTATCATTGCTCCACAGCCAGAAGTCCTGTCCTGCCCCCAAGTCACCATTCTACTTGCAAACCCCCCAAGACATGTCTCAATCTTAAACTCCTATGCCTTTGTATACATTGTTCTCTTTGCCTTGAATTCCCTTTTCCTCTTTTTTTTAAAATATATTTTATTGATTTTTCACAGAGAGGAAGAGAGAGAGACAGAGAGCTAGAAACATCGATGAGAGAGAAACATCGATCAGCTGCCTCCGGCACATCCCCCACTGGGGAAGTGCCCACAACCC